GTCAAAATACAAGCATCAGACCAACCACCAACAACTATGTAATGGAAAAAAAAGCATCGTCAATAAATGGTGCTGGTCTAACTGGATGTCTACATGTAGAAAAATGTAAATAGATCCATATTTACCACCCTGCACAAAACTCTAGTCCAAGTAGATCAAAGACCTTGACATAAAACCAGATACTGTAAATATATTAGAAGACAAAGTGGGGAGGGGCCATTGCTGGTGGGTACAAACTTTTACAATCTCTCTGGAAATCAATCTTTCACTTTCTCAGAAAACTGGGAATAGTTATACTTCAAGACCCAGCTATACCACTCCTGGGCATAAACCCAAAAGATGCTCCACCATACAACAAGGACTTTTCCCAACTGTGTTCATAGAGGCTTTATTCGAAATAGCCAGAAACTGGAAACAACCTAGGTGTCTCTCAACCGACTAATGGATAAAGAAATTGTGGAACATTTACACAATGGGATACTTCCCTTTTGTTATTGTTGTATTTTTTGTTTCATTTGAGACAAGGTCTTGCTAATTAGCATAGGCTGGCCTGCAGCTTACTGTGCTGCCCAGGCTGGACTTAGGCTTACATTCCTCTGGCCACAACAGATCTCTGATGTAAGCCACCGTTCTGCTGATGATACATTAGAAATAGAAATTAATTTGTTTCTGCATGTGTTTATGATGCATGTGGACATGCAGGCTGCCAATTTCTTCAGAGGACAGCTTTTGGGGGCTAGTCCTCTCCTTCCTCTCTGAGTTCCAGGAACTGAGCTCAGATTTTCAGACTCGCTCAGCAAGCACTTTTGCTTACTGAACCATATCCCTGGCCTGTCGGCACACACTTCTACAAACTTTTTAAAAGATTTATTTTTATTATTTTCAGTTATTCACGCGTGTGTGTTTGAGTGCATTTATGTGTATGTGTGTGTGTGTGTGTGTGTGTGAGTGAGTGTCTAGGGGGCCAGAGGTGCTGAAACCCACTAGAGCTTGAGTTATAGGAGCTTGTTAGTCATCTGCCACTGGTACTGGGAACCCGTCTCAGGTCTTCTACAGCCGCAATGCGTGCTCTTAACTACTGAGCTATCATGAAGGTTGTTGTTGTTGTTGTGTGTGTGTGTACGTACCTTGAGTCATAATTTCCAGGATTGCCATTCCTTTAACTTCTGTGCTTGCATGGAACGTGGAATCATGGGTAGGGTCTGAGAAGGTCAAGTGTATTGGTTAACAAGTAAAGAGCGATATGGAGGCAGAGCAGTGGAGGAGAATGGGATGATTCTGGTGTGAGATTGCACATGACGTGGACTCGGATCTACTAGGCTGAACCTCAGGTGACAGCCCAGTTCTAATGGTTGTAAAGCCATGTACTCTGACAGTGGAGAGTATTGTTAGACAGAGTGTCTCTGAGAAATACCAGACAGGCTAGATGGATGGATCCCAGGATTTAGAAGTCTGAAAAGGGACCTGTTTTACGTGTATAAAGATTAAAATAATTTCTAAATGGAGCCAAGTATGGACTGACTTGTTTTAAATTCTGTTTGTTAAAAAAATGTCTAAAGCTTTCACATTAGTGTTGGAAAACTAGCATCAAAGAGTTGGCAGACATTTCTCTACAGGCAATGATAAATGATTTCTTAGCATCATCTCAAGGATGTGACTGAGAATATTCTGCTTGTTTTTTTCCTCCAAGGAAACCACAATTTGGTTTGTGTTATGTCAGAAACTTAAAGGTGATATTTCCATTATCAAAGAGGATTACATTGAGTATTACACATTTAATGGTGTATGGACTGGGAGCAGAACACCCCTTTTCCCTTAAAAACAAAATTAAACAAAGCATAAAACCCTTTGCTTGGTGCTAGAGGAATGGCTCAGCAGTTAAGAGTGCTTCCTGCTCTTCCAGAAGGTCAGAGTTCAGTTCTCAGCTCCTCCTGTGATGCCCTCTCTAGACTCCTTGGATGCTGCAGTGAATATAGTCTATGTCCCCACGCAAGCATAACGAAATGTAGAAATAAAAGCTTGAAAGAAAAAAAAAAAAAAAGAGCCATTGGCCACTTGGGGAAATGTTATCTTTTTACCCAACCCCCTTCATTTTAGTGTTTATCTCATCCTTCATTGGAGTTTGGGTTTTCTTCCACTTTCAAAGAAAATGAAATCAAAGTAAAACAGGTTTGTCTTATTTCACAAAAGCAGTTTTGTTTTCTGTTTATCTGAAATATAATTTCTACCTCTTATCTCTCCTTATGACATCATAATTATTGCATAAAATAACTCCTGAAAAAGGCTCATTGCTTAGGGAATATGTATGTATTCAATTTGCTTTTGATTTTACAAATAATAAGGCAGGCAATTTTCATGACTGTCTAAGAACAAAACCCTCTTGGAATGCTATTATTAAAAAAACAAACAAACAAAAACAAACCACTAAGCCGATCAAACCAATTTGTCTCTCAGGCTGTTCAGGGTACGGCTTTCAGTTTGGGTTTTGTTCCTGTTATTACTACCTTGGCAATATAAGTTGATGTACTCTGTTTTCTGAGGAAAAAAACAAACAAACCTTTTCATTGATTGTGACTTAATATATATGGTTATGCTTAAGCACTGACAAATAAATACTGAACACCTGCTGCGCCTTAGGAAACACTCTGAACAGCTGTTACACAGGTGGGAAAGCCAAGTGGCTCGTAGCTCACCCAGGCAGCAACTTGAAATTAGAGTAGCACTCTTGAGACGCGAGTTTCCAGGGAGCTGTGGGGCTTCGTGTGACAAGGTGGGTCTGTAGCTGTCCCCGTGGTGGTCATTGCTTATTGATCACCTTCTTTAGGCAGCTTCTAAGCTTGAAACAATTAGTTTCACTAAATAATGAGCTGTCTTGTATAGTACCTGGGTTCTTCCACTTTGTGGATTCCTATATTTCAAGCTTTAAGTTTTTTTCCGCAGTAGTTTTGTGTGTGTGATTGCACACACACCACAGTGCCTCCATGGAGGCCAGAGGTCGACCCCGTGGAGTTAGTTCTCCTTCCGGCTTTGTGTGGGTGGTCTTCAGGCTTGCATGGCAAGCACCTTTACCTACCGAGCAACCGCACCAGCCTTAACTTTCACATGTTTTAAAATCACATTTCCAAGTTTAATAACCGTTCAGCCACCCCAGAGAGGTGCCAAAATCAAGATTCTGGCTAAGTAAACTGTGCCACAGAGTTATGGTTAAACAGAGCACGTGCCCATCTAATTAGAGGGTGTACTGAGTCACCGCAGGTAGCACTCTTGGTAGCGGCAGGCCCTCTGCCCCTCATGATATGCCAAATACAATTGTCTTTGCTTTTGCATGGTCTTTAACAAAAAAAAAAAAAAAAAAAAAAAAGAAAGAAAAAAAAAGAAAAGAAAATTTATTATGCGTGTTTCTTTTTAGCTATTTTCCTCGGTGTAACTGCAAATATCAGTCAATTTTTAGTTTCATTTTAACCGACTCTATACCTAACTTACACCCCATGGACTGTTAAGGAGAAAATACATTTTTTTTCTGCTTCAACTTAATTAAATCAATTCAATTCATTCTTTCATTCAACAAATATTTATTAAGCACCTACAATATGCCAGGCACTGTGCTGGGTGCTGGGGCTACAACTGTGAACAAGATAGACACAGTCCCTGCCCTCAGGGAGCTGACAGTCTAGTAGTTTACAGACAAGTACACAGGCAATTACAATGCAGCATGGTGAGTGCCGTGATGGGTAAGGAACATTAAGAATGGCATGTGACTCGGTGTCACGGGCAGGGGTGGTGGGCGATCATGGCAGTCTTCACAGTACGATTAAAATTCAATTTGAGTGCTTCGGGATGGCTGACGTTCAGGTAAAGACAGAGAAGATCTATGGACTGAAGAAAAATGGTAGATGCCAGGCTCCGTGTGCTGTGGAGGTCTAATTGCTGGCTGAGGAGTTGGATTGGAGTGAGAGAAGAGGAAGACATCAGGGAGGGCCCAGACTGTGAAACAAATCATTTGCTCAGCAGCAGAGAGTCAACCCTTCCTGAGGGAGAGCGCACACATCTGTTATAAGGACCACACTGTAGTGACACGCAGGTACTGGATGCGGATTATGAGCACTGCAGGAAGGAAATCAGTCCTCCGTTTTCTTCCAGCAGAGCGTCACCCCCTGTGCCCTCACCAGACTCCCCTGCTGCACGGGCCTCGCACACGGAGCACTGAGGAGGGCAGGAGTGGCTTGGCCTGCTGCTCACCCTTAGATTACCCTTAACACTGGTTCACTCCGCTCTTCCTTCAGGCCACGCTTTGGGAATCATCCTGACTTGTGCTTTCTGTAAAGATCCCTCGAGCCACGATTTTTATCCATATCACTGAACTCATTCACCATTCCAAATGAAGCAGACTTTTTTTTTGAACCAAAAGGGCTCTGTTTTCTTAAAAATGAACACAGCACAATTTTATTCATGATCTCTGGGTAAAAATAAGGATTGGGATTTTTCAACTGTGATTTACCCTAAACTGTTATCAGTGCCTTCAAGAATTTAAATGGAAGTATGGGAATGAAGGGAATGCCCAAGAGGCACTGAATTTTATGCAGCAAAATAGAGCCAAGTAAAATTCCCACACAGGGTGTGTTGGTGTTAGAACAGTGGTTCATTCCCAGACTCAAAGATTCTATCTTTGACAACCTAATCTGTTAACAAATGGGCCCAAGAGATAAACAAGGGGAAGCATAGTATGGAGGAATAATAAAGAAAGCTACATTTTCTTATATGGCCTATCCCTTGACTCCCATAGTCCCTCACAGAGTTATAGTTCCTCAAATAACTTGTATAAGTATAGGGGAAAAAAATTTAAGCTCTGTAGATAGATACTGTAAGAAAAACTGTTTTATTCTTTTGGGTGGGTACAAAAACCACAACTTTGTACACAGAACAGGATTATAAATTACACTGATAACATGAGTGACCCGTAGTCTTTTAAATTCTACATTGCAGATAGATGACTTCATGTCAATATTTTCTTCACATGTTTTTTTTTTTTTTTTTTTCTTTTTGTTCCTGATAGACAAACACAATCCATGAGCCAACTTGTGTGACAGAGTGAAGGTTACAGGAAACAAAGTGGCCGACAACTTTTACATTAAAAAAAAGACTCTAAAGTTTATTACAGTGATGGCATTATTATCAATTATTGCAATGTTCCCTAAGATGGTTAGAAAAAACAATTTTGTTGTCCTCTACTGTATTTACTTCAGTTAAAAAGCAAGCATGTTTCAGTATTGTTTTATTTCCAAAGTAGCTGTAAATACTTTCTTTAAATTTCATTGTGTTTTTTTCCACAGGATTTACATGTTTATTATTTTCTTATCACATCTTAGTGACTGCTTGTCTCGGCTGCAGATTACTCCATCGACTACATGGGTGTTGCGGAGACACAGGTAGCAGGTTCCTTGACCTCTATTTAACTGTTGAATCCCTTGCTGTGGTGACCAAGACCTTTCTGGGAAAGAACTTCACAGTTTAATGCGCTAACTGGCCAGTCTGATTAGTTTTAAGTGCGCTCAAGTGAAATTTGTTGCTGTTAATACACCCATCCTCAATATCCCCACCCACTCCTCCCACCCCGAAAAAAAAAAAAAAAACAAAAACAAAACTAAATAGTGAATTTTCCTGATATAAAATCCGAGTCTGCATTTCCGTGCTGAACTCATGCACTGGTTTTGTCCGGCGCTCAGTATGTCCTTCCTGCTCTCAGCCAAAGGATGGGTTTAGCCAAAATACATGTTGCGCCTGTCCCTCGGGGCTGCGTTTCCATCAGTCACCAACACAGTTTAATTAAGGCACTCAATTATTTTTTTGGTTTTTATGGTAGGTCCGATGCAATGACAGCCAATCCCGAACTTTGTCTAATTGCAGTTCCTGTGTGTACGGCCTTGGGGCAGTCCGGGGTGAGCACGCGGCCGTTCTCTCCCACACTCCCAGTGATGGATAACCTGGCTTTGTTTCTTATGGCTTCGGAAAAAGTCAGCTGGGTTGCATGAAAAGGAAACAGAGAGGATGCCGGCTGTTATGATAGTTCTGTTGCTTCAACAAAACGTGGCACATCAAACACCAATATATAAATATATAAAATTAGACATCTGCATTTTTTCCATGTGCTTTTTGGTCATAGGGAAGGAAAATCTTAGGTACAGTAGATTAATTTATCGGCCTGGAGTTTTAGGTCCTATATATTTAAAAGATATTTGTGAAATCATAAAGTCTGGGTTTCTTTCTTTCTTTCTTTCTTTCTTTCTTTCTTTCTTTCTTTCTTT